TCACCTCATAGTGAAAAAGCTTATTCCAAACTACCAAGCTGTCTCCTGAGAATGCAAGGAGAAATTACAGGAGAAAGATTTTTAGAGTTAATTGAGAACTGAAGAGTGCAGACAGCTCTTAGGAGGAAATGAGGGAGTCTCAGGAAAGAGCTGAGAAGCTAGGAGGAAACAGAGAATGCAAGTGTCATGGTAGCAAGAGTTTCAATCCGGACATCTCCAAAGGGACAGAATGACCTGTCAGAGAGAAATGTCCAAATCACCAGTGAAGGCGTCCCTTTGTATGTGACGGGAGCCCAGTACAGCAGAGGAAGGTCGCTGGTATACCGTGTGGCTTCCAAAGTCAACAAAGCAGGGACAAGGGGGAGAGACACGTGACTAGAGCAGGAAGGGGCTAGAGGCAGGAATAAGTAAAATTGTCCCAAGTGCTGGGTTACAGTGGAGACAGGGGGTTGTCCTTTGGAATTTCCAACTTACTGTCAGGGGCCTTGACCACCTCCTCAGCTGAGGAGGATTTTAAACTGACAATTATAACTAACAACATAGATTAATTGAAGCGTCACTACCCAGGCTACTTCCAGGCCAGAAATAACGCACACATCCAGAGATCAGGCACCCACATGTTTGGGGATGGGGGAGCTAACACCACTGCTTCTGACAGCAACATTTCTAAGTCTGTAGGTCAGACCTGGAGCCCTCTGATGATTACAAGGGATTGAGGGCCCCAGTGTGAGCCTCTTTACAATGACAGGGCAGTTTTCCCATGACTAAACAATGCCTAGACAGACAGGAAGAGAAATGTGGGTTGCACCATTGTGGCTTGTGCTTACTGGGGAACTTCTGTGGGTCCTTAGGCCACAGCCATATGCCCACAGGGTGTCTCCATAGGAGGCTGACTTTTGGGGTCAGTCTTTGGTTCCACTCCCTGTTTGGGGAGGGTCAGCCCTTATGTGGGAGCCCTGGACCAACCAGTTTAGAGAGAGTGTGCCTCCCTGTTTACAGATACAGGTGAACAAAAACAAACAGCAAGCAGGAGGTTAGCTTTACCAGCAGGAGGCAGAGAAAACACACAGCACAGAGCCTACCCACAGTGAAGACTGAGGGGCATTACAAGTCACAGACAGAGAAGAGGAACTCATCAGGACTGGCAGATCAAAGTCAAAGAGGAGAAGTTACTCTCTTCACAAGCAGTGACACCATCTACTTGGATTTGTTGCTTTGACCCACTGAACTTCCCCTTGGGGAGGGGGCGAGTAGACACGGAGTCATTGGTCAATGGCGCAGACTCCCGGAGACAAGCTGGGTGTAGCAAGCTCAGTTTACTTGAGGGAGGGGAGAGCCTTACATACCCTCCACCCACCCAGGAGAGGGGAAGCAGCAACACTGGCATCAGAGTCTCTTGTGGCGGCTAGACACTGACTGGTGCAGGCGTCTTGCCTCATGGCCTGGCAGCTGTTGCTGGGGGCTCCTTTGGCAGACCTAGGTTGGCTCAACTTGGGGAAGTTAATACTGCATGCTCAGATAGCCAGTTTAGTCTGCTTTAAGCCAGTAAGGGCTTATTGGCCCCCAGGGCCTTTGTGCCTAGGCAAAACCAGATATAAGCCACTGTGAGAGAAAATAAAGGGTTATTGGTGTTATTGGGGATTAAACTGTCAAAGCACTTTCTCTCTCTCTCTCTCTCTCTCTCTCTCTCTCTCTCTCTCTCTCTCTCTCTCTCTCTCTCTCTCTGGGGTGTCAGAGAGAATAAACAAAATGGCAGAAAAGAAAACAGATTTTATATGAGAGCAGGGTAGGGATCTTAGATCTGGTTCAGCCTGTCTGGATTGAATGGGGAGCTGGGTGCTCTTGTCTGAGGTCTCTGACATTTTTGGGAATGCAAGGGAAGCTCCAGGCAAACAGAAATGCACCATGGGTGATCTGCTTCTCTGGTAGATAGAGACCTGCATTTCAGCTTCCGTTTACTCAGCCAAAATCCTTCTTGTTAGGACCAGCAACTCCATTTTGGGGACAGCAGCTTTGGACCTGACCCCTGCCTCCTGAGACTCTAACCCCAATGTTGACACAAACACCATAGCTGTCACCAACAGAATGACAGATGCTTTATAAGAGTCATTGTGAGTGACTATAGTCCAAGAACACTGGTTGAGGTTAACCAGACATGTTCTGATGTGGAAACAGTTTCACAAAAACTTTGTAGATTTACAAGAAAAAGAAAGTCACAAGTCAAGGCAATTTTAAATGCAGGGGTGGGAACCTCAGAGAGGCAGGTGCATTGAGATGGGGGACCTCTCTACAGGCCCAAGATGTTATCTGCTGGCATCCTTAGCTATTGGATTGAAGTATATTGTCTGTAAGTTAATAGACTGTATTGTCACAAGGATTAGTTCTGACACAGAGGGAGGCAAACATGGCTGTTCCAGAGAGGCAGCACATAGCCCAGGAGAAGGGAAGTAGCCTCTGTCCTGCAATGTCCCTGACTCTCTACAGGACTGCAATCAGATCAGCCAGCCAGGCTCTGCACACAGATTGCTTTCAGGGGTTTTCCTTCACCAGCAGACAAGGCAGCTTCCCTTCAGAAGTCTGATAATCAAAGAGGGGAGAGGAAGTCTCAGTTGTGAATATGCCCATTGCTGCCAGACAGGACGGTTACACAGGAGCACGTGGGATTCTGTCAACATTGAGGCATGTGTTTATTAACCTGTGAGCCTCCCTACAGAAACCGGGGTTATGGGCAGAGAGTTGTGTGCTTTTCTAAGTGACTTAGAAAGTACAGGACAAATGTTAGCTGCAGCACTACCTGGTGACAAGTGGGCCTTGTGCTCTATGCTTTTGCGTCTGAATTCTCCCCTGGTCCACATGTGTCAGCTTAGTACACAAACCATTAGAGAAACAGAACAGTTAAAGAAACAGAAGCCACAACAGGAAATCCAAGCTTGTTTAGACGACAGGATTTCCCTTCAGGAAGCCGTTCTGCTTGCAAGAGCTTCTAAACACGTTAGCCAAAATCATCCTGTCTCACCTCTTCCCGCCTCAGCACAGGGCACAGCTTGCGTGTGCAGCATTTCCTAAGAAGAGGGAGGAGTCCCTGGTGGGGATAAATAGGCATCAGTGTGCAGTGGGGAGATCAACCCATCAGGCAGGCAGCAAACCCCGTACATCGGGACTCACCCAACACAGTCACTGGCAGTGGCATCAACTCTGCAGGATATGCCCAGGGTTCCTTCTCTCCAGGGACAGAGGAACCTTTCCAGGACTGTGGCAATGATGGTGACCTATGGACTTGATTTGGTGGATGGTGAGGAGTTGTTTCTGGAGCACTAGATTGGGAGTCCGGGACATTTCTGGGGTACATATGAATCTTCTCTCCAGTCTGGGTCTTCACGTCTATGGAAGATGTGGATGCCATGGCTATGCTCCTGGAGAGTGAACGGAGCCTGCTCCTTCCTATGCTCCGCAGGAAGTACTGAGACCTTGCCTAGTCCATGTGCTGCTGTTGGAGCCAGGATGAGACAGGACTGCTGTAGAGCCCCTCTGGGAGAGGTGGCTCAGGGCCAAGGGACCCACCTCCCTCGTAGATCCGTGGCTAAGAAGAGGAACTCCGCCCTTTCTAGCTAGGAAAGGATGACAGCAGCTCTGCCTCTAGGTTTTCTCCTGCACAAACAGACTAGCTTGTTTTCTGTGGAAATAGTTTTGAAGTAAAATATTGTTGAGTGGTTTTCCAAGGAATCAATTGCGTCAGTCTGACAGTAAACACGGGGTAAACGCAGCTGACGCTCCTGGTCCTTCTGCAGGCCTGTCGCAGCCCTGAGGACTCGGGGCTCAGCTCCAACACCTCCCTCCCCTGCCCCCTCCCTCTTCTAGCCTTCTCTCCCCTGTGCCTTCCCCTTGGCTCCCTCCCTGCTCATAGCCTCCTGCCCCCTTCCTTACACTTCCTCACACCTGCTCCTGTGCCCATCTTTCCCTCTCTTTCCCATTCCTGTAGATGGAACCTTCTCCTCTATCTCCTCTACGCAGTTGAGAGAGTCTAAGGGGGGGGCGACTATGTTTACCATGACCACAAGCTTTCATTTGTAGACTGTTAGGATGCCTGTGCCCCCCACTCCAGGGGTGTATGTTGGAGATGGCCCTCTGCATATTCCCCCACAAACAACCCCAATGCCCATAATCAGCCAGACATGTTTACTAATAACGTGACCACTCACCAGGCTGCCCAGCCATTTGTTTGCTACCATCACACAGCCGTCCTGATAGCCGAAATGAAATCTGGTTCAGGTGTCAGAGACTCAGACAGCATTCATTTTCCTTCTTGCCGGGAGGCCTTCCAAGCCTGAGTTACAAACCACCATGTGGTATCCTTGCAGGGCTGAAAGAAGCATCCCACACTCGTCCTTCTAAGACCTGTTCTCAGGGGTGCCAGGGCTTCAGCCCTGCACCGGACATCTCCGGGGTTGTCTCTCAATTACTCCACCACACTCCCAGACACTTGTACTAGATTCAGCCCAAGGCCTTGAGATTTCTTAGACTTGTCTGACAGAGCGTGGGGTGGGTTCCCTGCTACTTAACTGGTCCAAGGATCCTTCCAGAAGTCCTGTCTAGACATTGGTGATGGGATCGTGGGCAGAATGATAAGGAGGAGGGTCCCACTCTTTCTATGTTGTCCTTAAACCACTCCAGAAGAGGAGATAAGACATTAAGATTACACCAGGCCTGTCCCCAGTTTCTTCTTTTCCTTATTCTGTGTCCCAGGCATGCTCCTTCAACTCTCTGGGTCTTGACTCTCTGTCAGGAAAATTGGTTATTGCTACAGCACTTCATCTGAGGAGCAGGGGACATGTTACTGTATTAGAGTGGCCAGAGCACCTACCATGACAGTCACAAAGGCATCAAGTAGCAACAGAGCAGGGACACAATGCAGGCCAGGTGGGAGTACCAGGAGGTGGTCAGGACACCACCTGGGCATCCAGACTAAAAGGATCTTTGCTTTTCAACCAGGAGAATAGATAATGGCAGGTGTCTCGCCTGCTGTCCTCTGCCAACCAGATGGCACATTGGGAAGGAACACTGCAGTCCATGAAGACCAAAACAATGGGACACAAGTGGACAGTCTATCCCTGGCCTCCATCAACAACAACTTGGCCTTCAGCCTCTACAAGCAGCTGGTTTTAAAGAATCCAGATAAGAACATCGTCTTCTCCCCATTCAGCATCTCAACTGCCCTGACCATCCTGTCCCTGGGAGCAAGCAGAAACACCCTTAAAGAGATTCTGGAAGGTCTCAAGTTCAATCTCACAGAGACGGCTGAGGGAAACATCCACAGGGGCTTTGGGCACCTCCTCCACATGCTGAGCCAGCCAGGGGACCAGGTGCAGGTCAGCACAGGCAACGCCATGTTTGTTGAAAAAACGCCTGCAGATCCTGGTAGAATTCAAGGAGAAGGCAAGGGCCCTGTATCAAGCTGAGGCCTCCTCAACTGACTTCCAGCAGCCTCATGGGGCCAAAAAGCTCATCAATGACTACGTGAGCAAAAAGACCCATGGGAAGATCAAGGAACTGATCTCAGATCTGGATGATCAGACGTTAATGGTGCTGGTAAATTACATCTACTTTAAAGGTGAGGATAGCCACTGTTTTAGGGTGGATGAAAAGGGTGGAGGCTGGGTACATTGTGTCCTTATGCTGACCACTGGAAAGGAGTGGCTCATGGTCTTGAATGCATGGGGGCCTCACTTCTTGTTACTAGCAGACCTTACTTCTGCTTTGAGATTTTTTTAATATAGTTGTGGTTCCTTGCACATGTTCAAAACTTGGGGGGGGGTTCTTGAGCAGTGGTGGGGCACACAGATTTATCCCAGCATTCAGGAGGCAGAAGCCGGTGGATCTCTGATTCAGGTCTAGCTCCAGGACAGTCAGAGTTGAGTTAAACAGAGAAACCATGTCTCAGGGAGGAAAAAATGTTGAGATGGGGTGAGGCACAGGTGGGAAGGTCCAGGTGTAATGAAAGCTACAGTCAGGTGCTGAAGTGTGCAGTTTTAAAGGATCATTAGGAGATGTCTGAGGGTCCAGGACAGGGGATGGATTGCATTTTGTAGATCTAAGAGGAAATCATTCTCAGGAGAGAAATGTCTAGTAGCAATCCCCAATGCCTGGGTCCTGTAAACACATTCACGCACTGATGGATAATTAATGCATTAGGAAAAGCAAAATCAAGTGATCTAGGCATGCATGGAAAGAGGACTACTGTCTAGTGAGAGGTTGACTATGACTCCCCAGCTACTAAGTGGATTGAATGGCACCTGGAGGCCAGTGCCTTTATACGCCTCTTTTATTCTCAGGATGATCAATGAGCTCTACGTGCCCAAGTTCTCCATCTCCACTGACTACAGTCTGGAGAACATCCTTCCACAGCTGGGCATCAGAGAAGTCTTCTCCGCAAAGGCTGACCTGTCTCGGATCACAGGAAACAAGGTCCTGAAGGTCTCTCAGGTAAACTGAGACACACTGGGTGGTTTTCATTGGGGCCTGAATGTGCGTGGTGAAGGCCAGGTGTGTGTGGGATGTCAAGTATGTGAGAAAACCTGCATTTCTGAGATTCCCTCACCTAGGAGAGCTGCATTACAGCCTGTATACCTCTGCTGGATACCGAGCAGCCAGTCCCTCCTCTTCCCCATGAACATAATCTCATCCAGGAGCCCAGGGCAGGGTGGGCTTAGACTTGTGCTGTAGTGCAGTTGCTACCCAGAATGCACTGCAGGAGAAAGCACTTACAGCCTCTGCATCTTCCCTGGAGCACTGGAGAGTACTTCCTGACAGGCACACAGAGCAGTAGCAGTAATGAAATCACAAGGGATGAATGACAGTCGAGATAAAAAGCTTAAGAATAGAGAGAGGATGCCTTATGACCTCACACTACATTCCCAGATGCACAGCCTGGCCATGCCTAGAGTTCTGCCCAGTGTCCACTCAGAGCCCTGGGCTCAGGTCTGTACAGCAGGGCATGGCAGTGTGGGAATGAGAAACCATGTCCTGTGCATTGCTGTCGCGTGTCCCCAGGAGGCTGCAGCAGGAAGGATGCTGAAGCCTGCACTGGCCGTCAGCACCCTGGCTGTTCCCTCGGGGTCTCCTGAGAAGATGATGTGGAATAAGGACTGGGGTTGTCTATACCCATCCCCCAGTGTGCAGTGGGTTTGAGGGCAACACAGATTCTCAGAGACTGAGCAGACCCAGGGCATGCCTCATCTCACACCCTGAGCAGAGACTTGGAAACCCCAGGGTGAGAGCTCGTGCAAGGAACAAACACCTTCACCACAGAATCTGCTCTCCTCCCTCCTGGTCTCCAGTGAGTGATGTCTTTCTCCTCAGGTCGTCCAGAAGGCTGTGCTGGACGTGGGTGAGACGGGCACAGAGGCAGCGGCTGCCACAGGAGTCAAAATTGTCTTTCTCTGTGCAATGCTGGGAAATATGATAGTGCTTTTTGGCAGGCCATTCCTGATGCTTGACTCTGAAACGAATACTCAAATTACCCTCTTTCTGGCCAAGATCACAAACCCCAAATGAGGCTACAGCTTCACAAGGGGATAGCCTCCTGCCCAGGAGCCCAGGAGCCCAGGAGAAAGCCTGCATTTGGGTGTGTACATTCTGAACTCCATGATCTGACTGGCTGTGTATACCTGACTTAGACAGTGACTGTGACTAACTCCATGGTTCCTACATGCACAGGTGCCTTGGATTGTTAGTGACAGACTCTCAGGGCTCTTAGGAGCACCTGCTTATGTTTCTAAACCTGGAATCTATCTTTATGCCCTCTCCCTGCTCACTCCCCTGTATGTGCCTGTACCCTAAATGTGGGCACTGGCAAGTAGACTCAGTCCCAGTGTGGTCTCTAGACACATCTGCCTTCAGCTTCCATTGCCTTGGTGGAATCATGCAAGCTTACAAGTCAATCCATGAGGATCCAGCCCAGGACTGAGAAGAGAACCTATTGCACTAAATCTCATTCCTGTATTGGGTACCACCTGGTGACAAGTTCTTGCCTTATGCTTTCTCTCCTCCCGTCCCTAGGCTCTCCCAGCCACCACCTCTTACAGCAGATGCTGGCCATGAACGTATCTGGCCCACTATCGGAGCCTTCACTCATGTTGAAGGACTTGTTGATCAGACCAACTCCTTTCCCCCTACGGCAGAGTACCCTATTTAAGACAGAGTACCCATTTTCTAAGTTTGCAATTGACCAACCTCACATGAAGATGGGCACCTCCAACTTCAGCACCCAAAATGCAGGGCTTGCAGCAAAGGGTCAGTAAACATATAACTGCATAGAAAGTGGCCAGACAATATTCACTCTGCTCCTGTTGGCAAGGGTGTGGCCTTTGATAACAACACAGTGTAGTGGAGATTGTCACTCACACTCTTGTGACATGTAGGCCGTTTAACCATCATGCTATTATTATTCCCTTTTATGGATGACAAAACTGAGGCACAGAGAAGTTTAGCCATTTTCCCAAGATCACATAGCTCGGCATCATAACAGCTGGAATGTTCTTCCTAGGGTCCTGATGCCAGAAGGAACAGTCTTCACCAAGCCAGGGTCCTGTGCCAGAGACATCACCATGGCAGTGGCAGGTAGATCATAAAACAAGGCTCTGGATGCTTCACAGAGAGCACCCAAATGAGTCTAATGATCATGTGACCTCTGTGCTGAGGTCAGAAGATGATGAGAAGGTGGTCAGATGACCAGAAAGAATGCTTTGAGCAGGTGAAGAACAATGGAGGCATCTCTAAGAGCCTGAGAGGAAGGGGGCCTTAGGCACAGCAGAGCAGAAGGCTGGTGAAGAGGAAGAAGCAATTACAGCCACAGGATGGCATAGAGCCCGGCTCTGGGAGGATTCTGGAACTACTCAGTGTCACAGGGAGCACTGGAGGGCTTAATCGGGGCTCCTGTCTTAGGAAAGCTGGTCTGTGTGGTTACAATGCAGAAAACTGAGTTGTGCAGAAGTGGGGATTGTTACTGAGGGCATTTTGGGGAACAGCTGGAGAGGAGAATTGATAATTCAGCTCAAGGGGTGAGCTTTCTTGGTGTGTAGATGGAGGAGAGGAGGCCTTGATGCATTTGGGTTGGGGCACTTGGTATTCATGGAGAATCCTCTGAGCCCGTAGACACAGCCTGCAGTCTGCACGGAGAGGGAAGGCTGAACATTCAGTTGACACATGCTTGAGTCTAAGGCTCCTGGGGACACTCTTGAGCAGGTGGACATGAGATCAGCAGAGAATTGCAGCCTGGTAGGCCACTCAAAGTGTCCCCTTCCCTGAGATATCATTCCCTGAAGGCCATGCAGAGAGAGCAAAAGGGGACCCATCTATTGAAAGCAAGCAAGTGTCCCAACCATCTTTCCAACGTGTAGCAGGAAAGGTCCTGAGGCTGGAGCTCCACCAGCACTCTGCGAGCACTGACATGCCCCAGCTGTATCCCACCATTTTCCCTGGATTCAGTCCAGGTCTATAAGTATATAAGGATGCTGGGGCTGAATGCATCTCAAGCTGAGAACTTGTGTCCAAATCAGAGTCTGCCTCTTATGGGGGTCTAGGACCTAGATATCAGTGTTCACTTTTCCTCATTCCTTGGGGAACGAGGATTCCCCCACCTCTTGGCCATCAAATGTCATCTTGGTGATGAATCTTATATAGGGAAGGCCCAATGTGCAATGGAGGTAAAGGACTATGGAGGGGAAAGTAGGTGCCTGGAAACTGCAGTTTATTGAGATCGAACGCCTGGGAACTTCATGCAGGGCTCAGGGGCTTCTACATGCTAAATGCTCACTTTATAGGAACTTAAAGAAAGTGGTTGTGTGGTGAGGTGGTCTCAAAAGGCTATGCACCAAGAGTTACCTTCCTGGCCTCTGCCACATGGCCAGGAATCTGACACATTCATCTTGAGACTCTGACAAATCACTTGACAGGTAATTGCCAAGGTCTCATGTCCACATATCAATAATCAGAGACTATCAACCATGGATCACTATGGAAGAGACAAGAGTAGTTGTGGCAATGATTATGACAACCATCAAGGGCCAGGCTGTCTCTTCCTCCCAGCCTTCAGCCACATCTGTTGGCACAGCCCAGGAAGGCACTGAGGCAGCTGCCTTCAGGCATCAAGATGACCTCCCTGCAGAGGACACTTCGAGCCACCGTACATTTCAGAACCCATGGTGCCCGTGCCTCCCCGGAATGGCTACGACATCCTCCCTCAGAGACTAGTCCTTACTCCCAGGATGGATTGCAACTTGCTAAGCAGAATGTAGTAGGATGTGCAATGCATGACGGCTCATTCCCAGTTTGTCTTACAATGAACAAACTCCGCAGTGTGTTTACAGCAATGAGTGCTGAGACCTCTGCTCCATACTAGGGCAGGACAAAGCATCTAAGGGTTAACCCACCCAGATGGGAGGGTCCCCAAGGGGTGGCCACTACGAACTGCTTCATCTACAGATCCTCACCAAGCTTTCTCCCACAAAAACCATCACAGGCAACTCCAGAGCCTTCTGAGAGGATGCTGAGCCGCCGCCCAGCTGGCTGCACCTGTATGTTTTCTGATGTTACTGAGGTCATGGAGCAGACAGTATGTAGAGGGGGGTGTCAGTTAGCCTTTTGTCACTGGGACAACACAGCTGAGACAGCCCACTGAGGGAAGCAAAGGTTTGGTTGAAATCACAGTTTCAGAGCATTCAGGTCGGGGTCTGCTGGCTTCTTTTCTTTGGGCCTTAAGTAGGCCAGGCTTTGTGCATCTAAAGACACTATCAAGAGGATGAGGACTGGGGACACGGTGAGGTGGGTGAAGTGCTTGTCTCAGTGCATGAGGACCTGAGTTCTAGTCCCTGACACAGAACTAAAAAGCCAAGTATGGTCACATCGACTTATGACCACAGTTCTGGGGAGGTAGAGACTGGTGGATCTCTGGAACTCCCGGGCCAGCCACCCTAGGCAGTTCAGTCCTATGAAGAAACCCTATTCTGAAAACTAAATGGATGGCACCCAAGAATGAATGAATGAGGTTGACCTTTGACCTTCATATGGTTATACACATGGATGCACTTATATACATTCATAAACACATAAACATACATTAAATAACTGTTCGAAATATCTTGGTCAAGGTTCTACTGCTGTGAAGAGATACCCTGACCACAGTAGCTTCTATAAATGAAAACATTTAATTGGGGCTTGCTTACAGTTTCAGAGGTTTAGTCCATTATCAGCATGAGGGGAAGCATGCTGAAGCACAGACAGATACGATGCTGGAGAGGTAGCTGAGAATTCTACATCAGGATCTTTAGGCAGAAGGGAGAGATAGCCACTGGGTCTAGCTGGGCTTTTGAAACCTCAAAGCTCACCGCCAGTGACACAGTTTCTCTAATAAGGCACACATCCTAATCCTTTGGAATAGTGCCACTCCCTAAGCATTAAAATATATGAGCTTATGGGGCCATTTTATTCAAAACACCACAAAAGAGAAACAAAACGAGGGCTGGGAATGCAGTTTAGTGGTATAATGCTGCCTTGCCTTGAGTATGCCAGGTTCTGGGTCCCAGTACTGTGAGAGTGAGGAGGCAGTCCCCAGGATGGGAGGAAATGGCTGCAGCTCAGACACCTGTACCTAGAATGCTGAAGAACTTTAACAGTTGGATGACAAAGCCATCCTTCATGCCCACCGACCAGAAAGACTGTCTTCGGAAAGCAGGGAACCCTGGGTTTTATCCCCCATATCACACACACACTCAAAAAAATTACCAAATACATGAATACAGATTGATTAATTTATTTAAAATGTCAAGGAAAGATAATAAGTATCTTCATGGCTAGGAGGATTTCAAAGCCTTATTTAGCCAGTAGGAATGCAGAATGGGGCGACGCCTTTGGAAAGGCTGACAGTCCCATGATGCAATGTAGGTATATACACAGAGGAAGAGGACTCAGTCTCCATGATGGTTCTTCAGAGTCAGCAAAAGGCTTGCAACTCAAGCACACACCATCATTGAACAGATGAGCAGAGCGGGCTCTAGCTAAGCACTATTACTGTGCTAGACAAAGGAAGGAGAAACCATTTCCTGCTGCAGTATGTGTGACCCCGCCAGTGAGCTCAGTGAAAGAAGCCAGACACAGGCGGGCCTGTGTGATGTGTCTCCGTCACGTACATGCAGTATCCAGATAGAGTAATTAATATGCATGCCCAGTGTTCTGATAGTTGTTAGGAAATCTGGGGAGGGGAGATGGCAGTGACTTATCAATGGGTATGGTTTCTATTCAGCAGTGAATAAATTAGTTTGAGGCTAGACCAACTGGAAAATCGTGTTGGTGGTTAGGTAAGACGACTACACTAGGCCCAGGCAGGAAGGAAATGTGAGGCCTGAGGGGAGGTTCTCCGAGCTCTAATGAGGGCAGGCAGGAAAGGCCCAGCTGCTGGATCCTTTTCCTTGGTGAACAAGATGGTCAGGTGGGGGGGGGGGTGGCCCCACCCAGTCTCGGAGTGGGGAGCAGTGCTCCTCCGTGTCACTCCCAGGCCTGTGGGGAGGACTTCTCCAGCTGCAGTCCCTCCTTGCCAGGTTACGAGCTTTGCCCTCTCACAATGAGGAGAAACGGAAGTGCATTTTAGTGTCATTTCATCTGCTCTTTCTTTTTCTTTTTCTTTTTTTTTTGGTTTTTATGAAACAGGGTTTCTCTGTATTGTTTTGGAGGCTATCGGTCCAGCCTGGCCTCGAACTCACAAAGATCCGCCTGCCCCTGCCTCCCGAGTGCTGGGATTAAAGGCGTGCGCCACCACTGCCCGGCCCTGCTCTTTCTTTGGGGGCCAAGAGGAAATATCTCATGGCGAGCTTAAGCTCGATCAGGGAAACCTAGTAAGGCACTTTGTCAAAGCAAAAAAGTAAGGAGAGGGCTGGGGAGACTCAGGGCGAGGGTGTTTTCTGAGTATGTGTGAGGCTCTGAGTTCAAGTCCCAGTGCCGTCCCCAGAAAGGCAAATCCACCTGATGAGGACTGCGACATGATTCACGACTGACGCTTTACTGCTGCCCTTGGATACCTTTGGGCTTTGCTGTCACTGACAAACACTCGAGGGTTTTTATTGTTTCAGGGAGGCTTGGGAACCTAACCCACTCTGGCTCCCTTCATATCCAACAGCATTCGGAGCTCGTGGAACTAATGCCACCATGACGAACACTCCTAAATGTCTGCTTTTATGTCATATGAGTCTATATGGAGACGGAGAGGAAAAACTCTTAGAAAAGAAGAGCTAGAATTTACTTCAGATCACTCCAAAGGGAGAAAGAGATGGAGGGGTGTGTGTGTGTGTGTGTGTGTGTGTGTGTGTGTGTGTGTGTATTTGATGCCTCTCCATTTCTTAATATATATGTGTGTGTATGCATATGTGTGTGCATGTATTTGAGTGTATATAAACATATACATGTATATATATAAAAAGATATATATACATATATATGGGTGTTTTATGTGTTGAAAATGGAGGAATCTGCTAATGGGTATATGGGTGTTCATGTTCCTTCTAAGTCACAAAGTGTGAGTGACATTCACTACTACCCTGTTGTCACTAGAGGTGACACCCTACCATCAGGAGCCCAGTGAACACTGCCTGGCAACTTTCTATGCACTTATACGTTTATTGAAACTTTGTTCCAAACCCTGCATTTTGGATAAGAAAGGTGAAGCATCGGTCTGCTGCATGAGGTTGCTCGGCGGGGAATCTAGAAAAAGGTTCGCTGCCCTAATCATGTGTACTCGTGTGAGAGCAGCAGGTCTGAGAAGCAGGCTCCATGCAGAGCTGCAGGAATGAGCTCTCCCAACACTGTGCCACATGTGGGCCAAGGTCAGGAGCCCCTGCAGGGCCAGTGGTGCAACAGGAAAAGTGTGAGGCGGGAACTGGGCACCAAGCGGTACCGGATGCTGGAAACAGAGTCGGGACCCGGGTCCCTTCTCAGTCTTGGGCTGAGGGCCACATGGTTGGCCTATATTCTTGCACAATCCCAGAAAGGCTGCTGAAGATGCAGGCCGACATAGCCAGATGCTAGATATGGGCAGAGCCTACCTGCCATTGCCCAAGGGGCAGAGCCTACCTGCCATTGTCCAAGGGGCAGAGCCTACCTGCCATTGCCCAGGCCTTAAATAGGGGCAGATACATGAGAGGCTGCAGGGAGGGGACACAGAGACAGACTTCAGGCTCGGGAACATTAGCTAGTGCTGCCAAGAGGACTGGGAGCCTGACACTGACTGTCCGCAGGTCCCTGTGCATGTGGGAGTCATACAGTCAGTCACTGTCATTGTCCAATCCAGGCATGCCACAGACAATCAGAGCATGGAAATCAAAATGCACGTAGAGACCCACAAACAGGCTTAATCCCTGGCTCCTGAGAAGAAGTCTCAACACTTGGGAAGTTTTAAAATCATTTGGGGTTCGTGATCTTGGCCAAAAAGAGGACAGACTGAGTATGAGTGTCGGAGAGAATCATCAGGAATGGCCTGTTGAAACTCACAATAAACGGGTCCAGTTTTGCAGACATTAAGGCAATTTTGACTCCTGTGGCAGCCGCTGCCTCTGTGCCCGTCTCAGCCACGTCCAGCACAGCCTTGTGGACGACCTGAGGAGAAAGACATCACTCACTGGAGACCAGGAGGGAGGAGAGCAGATTCTGTGGTGAAGGTGTTTGTTCCTTGCACGAGCTCTCACCCTGGGGTTTCCAAGTCTCTGCTCAGGGTGTGAGATGAGGCATGCCCGGGGTCTGCTCAGTCTCTGAGAATCTGTGTTGCCCTCAAATCCACTACACACTGGGGGATGGGTATAGGCAACCCCAGTCCTTACTCCACATCAGCTTCTCAGGAGACCCCGAGGGAGCAGCCAGGGTGCTGACGGCCAGTGCAGGCTTCAGCATCCCTCCTGCTGCAGCCTCCTGGGGACACGCGACAGCAATGCACAGGACATGGCTTCTCATTCCCACACTGCCATGCCCTGCTGTACAGACCTGAGCCCAGGGCTCTGAGTGGACACTGGACAGAACACTAGGCATGGCCAGGCTGTGCATCTGGGAATGTAGTGTGAGGTCCTAAGACATCATCTCTCCTGTTCTTAAGCTTTTTACCTCAACTATTATTCATCCCTTGTGATTTCATTACTGCTACTGCTCTGTGTGCCTGTCAGGAAGTACTCTCCAGCGCTGCAGGGAAGATGCAGAGGCTGTAAGTGCTTTCTCCTGCAGTGCATTCTGGGTAGTAACTGCATTACAGCACAAGTGTAAGCCCACCCTGCTCTGGGCTCCTGGATGAGATTATGTTCATGGGGAAGAGGAGGGACTGGCTGCTCGGTATCCAGCAGAGGTATACAGGCTGTAATGCAGCTCTCCTAGGTGAGGGAATCTCAGAAATGCAGGTTTTCTCACATACTTGACATCCCACACACACCTGGCCTTCACCACGCACATTCAGGCCCCAATGAAAACCACCCAGTGTGTCTCAGTTTACCTGAGAGACCTTCAGGACCTTGTTTCCTGTGATCCGAGACAGGTCAGCCTGTGTGGAGAAGACTTCCCTGATGCCCAGCTGTGGAAGGATGTTCTCCAGGCTGTAGTCAGTGGAGATGGAGAACTTGGGCATGTAGAGCTCATTGATCATCCTGAGAATGAAAAAGGAAATTAAGAGTCACTGCATGCCATTGCCCCATCAATACACCTTGTAGCTGGGGAACCAGAGACAACCCTGTCACTGGGGAGCAGTCCTCTTTCCACCCATGCCTACACCGCTAGTTTTTCCTCTTGGTAATACATCAGTTATCCATTAGTGCCTGGGAGTGTTTGCAGGGGCAAGCAAGGTGGCTTGGTAGTAGCTATTTCTCTGCAGAGAATGCTTTCCTCCAATATTCTCAATATGCACTCCTTCTGCTGCCGAGTGGACCTTCAGATTTCTCCTGATGACCCTTCCATTTGAAATTCCATACCGCATCAGAATCGAGCTCTCCTTATTATTCTTGAACCCATCCCTTCTCAACCTCATCCCTCATCACCTTTTAACTAATCAAATAATGATTCGTTGTATTCTCTCTCCTTGTCAATTAAAGAAGAGCCCTCGAGGGTAAGAAAATTTGTGTTTGAGTTTCTGATATCCTCTCATGATCTAAACCAGAGCTTGGCACATAGTAGGTCTTCAAGCCATCATTCCATGAATGGTAAATGAGTGAGTGATGAGGCAATGAGATGGCTTCACAGGGCAGAATGATGCTCAGAGCTGATATCACCCTAACCTCGCTCCCCTCTGCTTTCCATAACCCATTCAAGATTCCTTGAAATTATAGCCTGTTAGACACAGAATCCCCAGCCCCTGCTCTAGCTGATGTCATCTTGTGAACAACAAAAATGACAGTAAAACAGGCCCAAAACTACCGGGTCAACAGAGGAATATTGACCTCAATCCATAGGACCTGTTGACTCTCTCATCATTACACAGGGTACAAGTGAGACTATGAGGAACAGGAACATTGGGTTTTAGGGTGACAGCAGGATGGGGAGCCACAGCTCTGGTTGCTATGGACACTCACCTGGGTCTCAGAGAGTCCTTCCATCTCCTCAGGGTCTCTGGCTGTAAGCTGGATTCCAGCTGCTGCATCTTGCCCTCGTCAGGGAGAATGAACAGGGCGCTGGCATTGCCTGTGTACTTCAGCTCCACCACTGAGCAGGACAGCTCCTCATCCCGGAAGTAGGGTGTGGTCAGGTCCTCAATGTTCATCATGGGCACTGTCACAGTCCTCTTCTTGTCCAAGTGGAACTCAGAATCAAATGTGTCAAGAGGGTCAAATGGCGTCTTCCATTTTCCTAAAAATGAAGCAGATCATCAGATAGTAACATCACCTGAGAGTCCCCACCTCAATCCCATTTCTGTCCAGCTTCTAACTTATGACAACAATCAACCCATCATCAACAACACAGAGTGTCCCTCAGAGGTGGCAAATGCTGGATTGGAAAAAAAAACTTATTAGGTGGACAAGTTCCTAGATTTGAGAAGAGACTCCAATCTTGGTTTGGAAAGGGAGCTTCAAACCACAGCCTGGCTGCTGGAGTCCTGAGTAACAGTCGGGGTTCTGGGCTAGGGGTGTGGAAGGGAGAGATGAGCATAACAGTGGTGAGACTGAAGCCTGGAGAGAGGTAGGACCCCTTCTTCCTCAGGAGGAATCGTGTCTAGAAGGCAAGGTTTTGTGGGACAGGCTTGAGGGGAAACAGGACTAGAGAGACTGAATTTGTCCTCACCATGGGCAGTCCATCGTCCCATAGATTGTGGACTAAAATGTGAGTAGCATGTCTTCAGCTCACACATGGGCTATGGCCACCTCCACAAATCACAGATATCCCATTAACACTTATCCCAGATTCCTAGTTTATGTCCCCATGACCAACACACCCTGCAGGACTTGGTACTGAAGCAATTGCTTGGGCTCAGAATCCAGTAATCTAAACATACATCCCTACCTCACAGCCCAGCAGCCTTGGAGCTTTGGTCCTGATGCTAGAGAGCCACGCCCTGCAGTCTCATCCTTCAGGCCATCACTGTGCTTCAGACATTCCCAAGCCATTCTGTCTTCATGTCCTCTGTTCTTTATTTCCTCTTTATCTGTCTGTGGCCACCTCCATTTTTTACACACAGTCTCAGATTCTGCCCTCCCTCTACCCTGGACTTTCCTTAATCCAGCCCAGATCTACACCAGGTCTGTCACCTTGCTCCCTGATTTCTACCAGGCAGAGTATTGAGGGTATGGTCTCTGGATGTCCCCTACAAACCTTACCCACATTACATCCCCAGCTGAGTCTCCCAACTCTCTTACACCCAACTCTTATACTCACTGGCCCCGGAGTGCATGTGTCCTGGGCATTCTGACCTTCAAGCTGCTGGGCCAGCAATTTCACAAAAGCAAATTTCCACAAAGCAGTCATAAACTAAACATGTAACACTGCCTGGCTGACACTTCCCTCTCGTTAATCTCTTCTCCTGAATCCCTGGTTTTCATGCCCAGGTCCAGCTCGTTTCTGAAATGCATTCTGATAGTCAGCAAGTTTAAGTCATAGCCAAATTCAGCCCTCTTAGGATGAAGGCTCACTGGTGCTGTGGAGTATGTACCAGAAACCATAACTACATAAAAAAACATAAGGGAGAAGTAAGGCCTATGGATAGAGAGACATGAGGCACCCATGTCTCCAAGGTTGTGAGTACCTCCTTTCCAGTGGTCAGCATAAGGATATGAGATTCCCAGTTCATATCTCCCCCCCACCCCCAACCAGTGGCCATCCTCACCTTTAAAGTAGATGTAATTCACCAGCACCATTACTGTCTGATCATCCAGGTCTGAGATCAGGTCCTTGATCTTCCCATGGGTCTGCTTGCTCACGTAGTCATTGATGAGATTCTTAGCCTCTTGAGGCTTCTGGAAGTCAGTTGAGGAGGCCTCAGCCTGGTACAGGGCCCTTGCCTTCTCCTTGAACTCTGCTAGGATCTGCAGGCGTTTTTCAACAAACATGGTGCTGCCTGTGCTGAGCTGTACCTGGTCCCCTGGCTGGCTGAGCATGTGGAGGAGGTTCCCAAAGCCCCTGTGGATGTCTGCCTCGGGGGTCTCTGTGAGATTGAACTTGAGACCTTCCAGAATCTCTTTAAGGGTATTGCTGTTTGCTCCCAGGGACAGGACTGCCAAGGCAAATGAGATGCTGAATGGGGAGAAGACGATGTTCTTATCTGGATTATTCAAAGCCAGCTGCTTGTAGAGGCTGAAAGCAAAGTCGGTGTTGATGGAGGCCAGGGTTACACTGTCCACTAGTGTCCCATTGTTCTGATCTTCCTGAAGTTCAGTGTTCCTCCCCAATGTGCATTCTTGTTGGCAGAGGACAGCAGGGCAGATCGCCGCCATCAAGAGCCCCAGAGCTACAAGGAGGGCCATCTTCTCTGATCTGAAAAGCAAAGATCATTAGAGTCTGGGATGGCCAGGTGGTGTCCTGACCATCTCCTTGTCCTCACACAGGGCTGCTCTGTGTCCCAGATCTGCTGCCCCTGTGTGCCTCCTTGACCATGCATGGAGGAGCTCTGACCACTCAGATGGTAGCACCCCATCATGCGCTCCTGTTGTCATCACGGGAGGAAGTGCTGTTGCAGTAGCTGGTTCTCCTTACAGAGAACCACGATCCAAAGAGGCTCGCGGACGTGCCAGGGTCGCAGAGCAAGCCAGAAGAGGGGTAAAGGGATGGGAACGAGAGCTGTCTGATTAGAATGTCTCTCTCCTTCTCTGCAGAAGGATCCATTAGAAGACTGATTCCTCTTCCTCTGTGCACACCCCACCCCCACTGCAGAACGTAGGCTCCTTGGAGCACTAGTTAGCACTGGCCCTGACCTGGCCTCTTGGTGACAAGTCTGGGAAGTCTCGAGGCCCTTGACTGAATCTGCTGCATGAAGTTGGACTTGGGGAGAGTAACTGAGAGGCAGCACTGGTGACATCCGGTGCAGTGCCAAACTATTGGCCCCTCTTAAATCACGTGGTGGAAGGACAAACAGGGCAAGGTCCTTCATCCCTGCCAGGGAACCACATGGTGGATTCCACCTCAGCCTTGGAAGGCCTCCTGATGGGAAGAAAAGTGGGTGGTGTTCATCTCTGACACCTGGAGCAGAGTTTGATTTGGCTCTTGGGATGGCTGTGTGGTAGCAAGCAAATGGGTGGACCTCTATGTGAAGCCTGGTGAGTAGCCCAGGGTCCATTATTGGTAAGTGTCTGGCTTCTTATCGGGTTAAATGGGGTTAGTTATAGGGAATGTCTAGAGGCCCATCTCTTCCATACATCCCTGGAGTGCGGGCCACAAGCATCCTAAAGGACTTCTGCTATATGATTGTGATTGTGGTAAACACGGGCAAGCCCCTTTAGCATCTGTTCAGGTGTCCAGAGGTGCAAATGGATGGTAAATGGGTGGGAGGGAGAGGAAAAAGAGGAGGGAGGGAACGGAAGGGGAGGTTGGAGAAATCAGGAAGTGAGAAAGTAGAAGAAAGAAATGCAGAGAGATAGGAGGGGGTAGGGCTAGGAAGAGGAGGAGGAAGAGACAAAGGGAAGGTGGAAGGCAGGGAAGACGAGAAGAGCAGGGAGGGAGCAGGGAGGACGTGTTGGAGCTAGGCTGCTTGTCCCCAGGGCTGTCACATGCCTTCAGAGGAGCCAGGGATCTCAATAAGTTGGCTGCCTTTACCCTGTATTTACTTTCAAAGTGATGCAACCATTTCTTTGGAAAAGCACTGAATAATATTTTGTGCCAATCTGTTTCCGGAGGAAAGGGCTGGCTCAGTGCGTGCAGCAGGAGACCCACATCAGTGGCTGAGCTTTTTCCTTCTTTGCTTTCCTAGTTGAGGGGGAATCCACTCTGCTCAGCCATGGGATCTACGAGGGAAGAGGGCCCCTGACCCCCAGGCAGCGCCTGTCAGCTGTAAGCATGGCAGGGCTGCCACCTCCCCTAGAGAGACTCTAAAACAGTCCTGTGTCACCCTGGCTCCAACAGCAGCACACAGACTAGTTCAGGTCTCAATACTTCTGTGGAGGCTCAGAAGAAGCAGGCTCCGTTCACTGTCCAGGAGCATAGCCCATAGTACCCACATCTTCCAGAGACAAAAAGACCCAGACTGGAGAGATTGTCCCCTGACTCCACCCCAGGGCCCCAGGAACTACTCATCACCCCTCCTCCATCTAAGGCTTCAGATAATCATAATTACCACTGAGCCCTTGGAAGGCTCCTTCTATGTCTCCAGAAGGTAGGAATGCTGGCATTACCTGCAGAGCTGATGCCCGCCGGCAGCGTCTGTGACAGCTGAGTCCTGATGTTCCGGGTGGCTGCCTGCTTTTCGTACTGTTTTCTCCACTGCACACTGATGCCTATTTATCCCCACCAGGGGCTCCTCCCTCTTCTTAGGAAATGCTGGCAAGCACAAGTTGTGCTCTGTGCTCAGACTGGAAATGGCCAGGCAGGATGATTTCTGGTAATGTGCACTTAGAGGCTCATTCTGGAAGAACCACTTTCCGAAAGGAAATTGCCCAGAAGTGTTCTCAGCAAGCCCGCTGGATCTCCTGGGCATGTCTGCAGGATCCCTGCCCCCTTGTCACCAGATAGGGCTGCGGCCTACATCTGTCCTGTACTTTGTAAGTCACTTAGAAAAGAACACAACAACTCTCTGTTCATGACCCCCATTCTTTAGGGGACTGTGTAACCGTCCTGTCTGGCAGCAATGGGCATATGCGCAATAGAGACTTGCTCTCCCTTCTTTGACTATCAGACTTCTGAGGGAAGCTGCCTTGTCTGCTGGTGAAGGAAAACCCCTGAAAGCAATCGGTCTGCAGAGCCTGGCTGGCTGATATGATTGCAGTCCTGTAGAGAGACAGGTACATTGAAGGACAGAGGCTAATCACCTTCTCCTGTGCTAAGTGCTGCCTCTCTGGAACAGCCATGTTTGTCTCCCTCTGTGTCAGAACTAAACCTGTGACAATAGTGTCTACTAACTTACAGACAACTAGCTTCAACCCAATAGCTAAGGACACCAGCAGATAACATCTTGAGCCTGTGGAGTCCACCCCCCCACCCCACCCCCACCCCGTCTCTCCCCTCACTTCCTCCTTTTCGCTTTTCCTTTCCCCTCCTCCTTACTGGATGTGGTGATTGTCCCAAAAGTGTTTGAATGCTGGGCCCAGGGAGTGGCACTGTTATGAGGTGTGGCAGTGTTGAAATTGTTGTGGCATTGTTGGAGAAGTGTGTCTCAGTTCACTTCTTGCTGCCTACAGATCAAGATGTAGAACTTTCAGCACCTCTCCAGTGCTGTCTGGCCTGATAGAAAGATGGAATGGCCCTTTGAAGACCATGCCAGTTATGTGGGAACAGTCTGGAGGGCTGTGGCTGCATTGTCTTGAATGTGATACATGCTTTAAATCATTATCTTATATATGGTAAGGTTTCTCCCATAGCCAGAACCCACGGGTCCAGGAGTTAAGGAGTGAAAAGGGAAAGGTTCCATGCACAATCACCCCTTATAATCTAAATGAAGTTTTTTTTATTCCTATTCCCATGACCTAAATTCTGCTGTCCTAGAATTTTTAGTTCTAGAGGTCGGATTACTCCTGCCAGGAGACAAAACAAACATTCTACTGAACTTAAAACCCAGGCCTCTACCGGGACACTTTGGGTTTCTGATGGCTTTTATCCAACAGTCTAAGAATGGAGTAATTGTTAGGTGGAGTAATTGATCCAGATAAGCCAGCAGAATTGGATTGGTTCTCCACAGTGAAGGGAAGAGAGATTATGTCCGGAGTTCATGTGATCCCTCAGGGGATCTCTGTGTTACCATAGCCACATATCTTGCGAAACTACAACTTAACCCAGCTAGGATGACACAGGGGATGAAGGCCTGGGTCTCTTCTCTAGGAGAGAGGAAAGACCAGGTGAAGTGCTTGCTGAATGTTCTGAAATATAGAATATATAGTGGAGGGACATAGTTACAAATACCAGTGAAGGCTGTGTGACCAGTTCAAGAAATTAGAATTATGATTGGCATGGGTGCTTCTGTCATTTAAGATTAAGAATGTATTTATACAGATATTTATGTTTTATTTCCTCAACTTCTTTATCACTGCAATGTAACATCAATTCAGAAAATACAAGTGGATATAATATTCAAGTTAGACTTACTAAAAGAATGACTGTCAAGGAACATCACTGCCTATTATAAAATTAATGATGCATTTCTGGTCAGATAAAGCATAGTTATATCATATTAGGTGTGATTTTTGACATGTTAAATATGTACTGTATTTGCAATTGTACATGGAATAGTTAAACCATGAAAGACATAGCTAAGTCCTGCTTATTGTGTTCAATGGGAAATTAAGCATGAATTAAGGAGACATGATATATGTCAAGGTGATACCAGGTGGCTTATGATTGTCAACTTGACTCCATCTGGAATTAAGTAAAATCAAGCATCAGGCAATACCTGTCAGGAAATGTTTCTTGAATAATAATTGTAAGCAGAGAGAGACATGTTTACTCTGGATCTTCTGAGATGGGAAGATTCACCTTTAATTCAGGCTACGCTTTCTGATGGCGGCCTATAGAAAGGACATGGAAGAAGGAAGCTTGCTCTCTCTGCCTGCTTGCTCTCAGTCTCACTGGTAGGTCCACTCCTTCACTGGCATCAGAGCCTATTCCCTCAGGATCCCAGCATATGCTGAAGGTCAGGTGAGACATCTAGTCCTGTGGACTGAACAACTACTGCATTCTCGGACCTTCCATTGGTAGATAGCCATTGTTGGACTAATTGGACCACAGTTTTTCAGCCATTATACTAAATCCTCTTTCTTTATGCATAAATTCATTGTATAACTTTTGTTCCTCTAGAGAACCCCAACACATGAAACTTAATATGTTCAATGGTGAGTGGTACTTATGGGGACTAAGTCATAACCCAAGATAATTTAGTTCTATAAGGAGATGTTCCACTCTGCACGATCATGAGGTTTTCATCAATGTAGACTCTTCACCGCAGTGATGGCTTTTCTGTGACAGTGTCAGTTATCACTTGCATCTCATGGATAGAATGTGGGTAGCCAACAGGGAAAGCATCACAGGCTTGAGTTATGAAACTACAGATTTGCCTTTCCCTCCTACCCACTGGTTTTTGTTCAGTATTGCTTTAGGAAACAGAATCTTGCTACGTAGTGAAGAGTTATGGTTTGAATATAGAATGTCTCCAGAGGTTCAAGGGTTTGGATCCTTGTCCTCCTGCTGGTGACACTGCTTTGGGAACCCAGTGACTAACTTTACTAAAGCTGTGAGCTAGAGGGATTTAACTGGCTGAATTCTGACAGAGATTTCCATTTCCTGATTCTTCGGATGGGGCATGGTGATCCCCACTGGAGCCTTAGATTGAAACTTGACCTGCCACCCTGCCTGCTCTGCCAAGAACTCAAGAGCCAAAATTAACCCTTCTATGTTCAAATTGCTTCTGTTGGGTACTGTGACTCAGCAACAAGGAAAACAACTAACACCCAGGCTGTGCTCACACTCCTGGTCTCCCCATCTCAGCCTCTCTAGAGCTGGGATTACATGTGCACAGCCTCAGCTGTGGAAGTTTTTTCCCAAACCCCTCCCAAGCCCTCTCCACCTGACCTCTCTCCTCCCCTCTCCCCTAGCTTCCTCCTCTTCTCTCTTGCTTTCCCCTCCTCCTTCTTTCTCTTCTGCTTCTCCTCTTTTCCCCCCCTCTCCCTACCTCTCTTGATCCCCTCTCAGAAGTCAAGTGTGAGCAACCATTTGAGCAGCCCAGAGAGATTGCCCATCATAAGCCATGAGAGAGCTGGAGTTAGGTCAGTGGTGGGGGCTCACCCAGAAAACACAAGACCCTGGGTTCAGTCCACAGCACCAGGAGAAAAAAAAAGAAAGTGGTCATAAGAATCCATTGGACATGGAACCTCCAGCCCTTGTCGGGTCTTCAGCCAACAGTGTGACTCATGAGAGGCCCTGAGGAAGAACCACACAGCCTGGCTCCTCATGGGTGCCTGACACTGTGGGATATTCCATGTTTATTGTTTCAAGCTGTGCATTTGGGGACAATTTATTCTGCACCAGCAGATGAGTGAGAAGAGACCAGTCTCCCTCATAGTTCTTAGCACCAAGCGAGAGAGTGAGGACAGACATGTCACAAGACAACATGCAGGGTCACACAGACATGACTAAGGTGAGTCCTCCATGCTCTGACTCCATCTCGTGTTTGCTCACACAGTTCTCAGCCCTCTCTGTTCCCCCACAGCAGTCATGTCTGTCTTCACATGTGGTTGAGATTCCCATGGACACGTCCATGGTGCAGAAGAATCAACTGGAGTGTGTAAAGGAAACCACAATAAATAAAGATGTCATAACTCAAAATTGTCTGTCATGTTATAACTAAGATAAGTACTCAGCTCTGCCAGAAAAGAACATTTCAAATTATCTGACCTTCAGCTAAGCAGGATGTAAATTATGGTCTTTGTGGGTTTTGCATTAAACATGCTAAGCTTAGGCACCTACATACTTTTTGGAGACATGTGCTCACTCTTGGTCTGACCATTAATAAATGTACTTAAACCATTAATTGACTTAATAGCATTGCTGTCAATAACTATCTCACATGGATCGTTTTCAACACACAGTGGTGTCTCACAGGGGACTCTTCCCTAGGTCAGAGTTCCCCTTCCTTCTCTTCTTTCTCTCTCCCCTCAGAGACCACGATGGCTACCACTGTTGCTCTGTCCTTCATGCATAAGACCCTGTTGCATCCTCAGCAGCACCTGATGATGTGGGCTCTGTTACTGACTGCGACTGTGCAGCATCTCAGGGTCAGACAGCAGTTGATGCTGAGCCAAGCCAGGAGTGTGGTCCAGACTGGCTGGATGGTGTCCATCCTCTCCATTAACTCAGCCTTGGTCCCTGCTGATCCTCACCCATCCTGGCTTTGAGGACAAACTAATGTAACACATGAAAAAGGGCACAGCCTTCCTGGTGGTGTGAAGGATGGCTTTGTTATCCAACTGTTCATCAGAATTCTAGGTACAGATGCTTGAGCTGTAGACATTTCCTCCCATCCTGGGGGTTGTCTCCTTTCTCTAACAGTACTAAGGACCCTAAACTTCACATATATAAACCAAGTCATCATCCCACCAGGAAGCTAGCTCCCTGAGGCCACTTCTCTTTCTTCTTGAGCATTTACTTTGTTGTTCTATGTGTTTGTGAATGCGTATGTGTACATTCATGTGCAAATCCACATGAAGGTCAGAGGTCAACCACATGTCACTCACCACCCATGCTGCTTTTAAGTTAGGATCTATTTTTAGGCCTGGAAGTCTCTATGTGTAGGTTAACTAACCAGGGAGTCCCAGGC